CTACATTTTGGAAAATTTAAACTACGTTTTTAAAAATTAAAACTTAATTTTGGGAAACTATAGATCTACATTTTGAGAAACTTACGCCTACGTTTTGATAAATTAGACATTGACATTTGCAATTACATTTTGATTTTAACATGGACTTTTGCTGCGTATGGCACCCCATAATAGTGGCCATTCATGATACCTGGTGCTATGCCCATTTTTTTTTTTTTTTTTTTAGCATTAGGTTTGATCAAGTTAACTCACAAGGTGGCAAGGTATAAGGGGTGTCATTAAAAGTGTCTGGCAGTGGCCACTCATGCTACCTGGTACTATGTCGAACATTTTCCAGTAGGTTTTATCGGGTAACTCACAAGTTGATCTAGATCGATTTTTGGGGCGGGGTATAAGGGGGTGTCTAGCGGGTACACGCCACCACTAAAAACGTCTGGCGGTGGCCATGCCTGATACCTGGTACTATGCCGAACATTTTCCACTAGGTTTTATCGGGTTAATTCAGAAGCTGATCTAGCTTAATTTTGGGGTACCGGTTTTTTGCATCTGCAGCTATCCTCTACCATTGGAAATGTCCGGAATTGACCATTCATGATATCTTGAACTATGCCGAATATATTCTGATAGGTTTCATTGGGTTAATTCACAAGTTGATCTAGCTCAATTTTGGTGCCCTTTTTATGCCCTCCTGACCACACCTACCAAAATTGGACCGCAGATGCCTATTTAACTACATAAACAGGCACATAGACCATTACTATACACACAAAAATTAGTTAACTTTCCAGCTATGCTGGTCTATACATTACTCATTAACATACAGGCCACAGCATAGTGGACCTTTTGAAATTTTGGAAGGTGCGTGCGCACCTTCTGCACCCCACTCCTTGCCTACTATTTTGTAAGTGGGGGAACAGTAGACGCTATTAGCCAGGGGGCCGCGTAGGGGCCCCGGTCGGGGTCCAGGGGGTGAAGGCTCTAGTGGGGGTCCGAGGGAGCTTCTCCTCCTCGCGCTCAGAGCGTATGGCAATTACGAACTGTTAACTGCGTTGTTAGAGAACATAGAATGGCCCATAACTGATGAAATATTTAAGACAATTTTATGACAAAACCAACATATATTACATAGGCCAACTTTCGGAACTGGTATAGGCCTACAGTAGACCTATGTACTTTATGTAGGTATGTAGGTGTAAATGAATACAGAGAATATTTTAGTGAGAAAGTACAAACATGATAAGGAATATGACAGGCCGAAACATTTCCAAACCACTGTCGGTAGATCAAAAGACACCACGCTTGTGTCACGCGCAACATCGATCAAGTGGTTTCGGAAGACAAACCGAAACAAACAAAAAACTGCAGCGATCGTTTACATGAGATAATGCCGTGTATGTATGATGATGATGCCAGGCCAGTGTATTTTCAATACTTAAAACTGCCGGAGCCCCATTGAATGAAACTATGGTATTATAGTTTACATTATATTAACTACAGTTTCGGGGCCCCTCGTGCCTGGGGCCCTGACGCTCCCCTTCCCCCTACGTCAGCGCCCGAGGGTGACGTCATCTGCTTTGGAGCGAGATTGGGATTTACAAGGACAAGATTGATTTACAACTCGTTTGCTGTAAAGGCCTGTCAACAGCCGAAGCTCTTATTTCAGCAGATCATGGAAAGAAAGTAAGAGTTCTCCACTGGATTTCAAAAAGGTACAGTTTTCGACCTCATCGATCACCGTCTTCTTATATTATTAACGAGCTTAAGGACTGGAAGGTGAGCGATTCGCTTGTTAGGGTATCTATAAAACAAAGAAGATCAAAAAACGAAGACCCCTATTTTTTTTTCTTTTATAGATGATAATACTCCAGGCTGTCACAAAATCAAAATTATAAATTTTTTTGGGCTTCTGTTTGCGAAATTTTCAAGGGTCTTCGTTTTATAGACACTCTATATGGGTGTCTACAAAATGAAGACCGAATACCAGAAAAACGAAGCCCTCAAATTATTTTTCAATTATCTTATTGAAAGTATTTCAAAATCATCATAAAACAGTTGCCAAGTGCCTATTTTGTCATTAATAATAATAACTTTATTGAATTGTACACTTTTAATATCTGTGGCACACACTATCTAGTGGTGCGTTCACAATAAAAACATTCAAACAACACAGTACATTCGTACCGGTACACTAAAGCACAGTATAGAATAAACACGTAGGCCTACAATACAAGAAAAACAGTAAAATGACAATTATTTAAGTTCAATTCAGCATTGAAAAGGGCATTAAAATTTAAAAAAATCAAATTATGGCAGAGAAATGTTTGAATTATTTGTTTAAAAGACGAATATGCACACAGGAAATAAAAGAGTAATTACTGTTTAAATTCTTAAACTCTTTTAAAATATAAGTATTTAAAAAAATAAAAGTTTTGAGCAGTTAAAATAGATAAAATACATACAAAATATATAAAATTGGTAAGAATTATTTTATGTTTTTACATTTGCTAAAATTTCACATCTCGCTTTCCATGCTCTTTTTAAAAAGGACTTACAAGCCATATCAAAAATATTATTGGTTGTTTCGTTTTGTTCAGTGAAGCTTTAATAATAGGGTCTATTTAGATAAGCAGTTGCGTAGATCAGGTTTAGAATATTATGACTTCCGCTATTTTTTCTGCTCTGCCATTAGACCAGTCATTGAATATGCCTGTCCGCTTCGGTACACCTGCTCTGAACCAAAAACAACAAAATCAAAAAATCAAAAATTCAAAAACGTGCAGTTAAGAACATATTGCCGAATACCTCAAATTACCTTGAATGCATGACCTCAAACTCAATGACAGAGATCACAAACTGAATTATTTCTACCCACTTCCCCTGACCACAACTACAACCTTCGACATCGTAAGAATTTAACACCCCAGCAGTGAGTACAAACAGATACAAAAAAATGATTACAAACTTCGGTATTTTTAAAGAATAGTAATTCATTCACTGATCTTCCTCCTTGACAAATAGTTCCCTCATGTTTCAGTTTCTCTCTCCGTCTGTCCCCTTTTTTGTGTTTTTCTGTTTGTGTGTGTGGGTGTGTGTGTGTATTTCTTTTTCCCTTGCTTTTCGCCTTCCTCGGTTGATTTTTTTTCCTTGCTGGTTCCTCGCTTTTGTAATTTTGTTTTTAATTTGCTGTTTTTTTTTTAAATTTTTATATCACTGAATGACCATTTTGCATTTTGATTATTGAATTTGAATTTTTTGTATTTTTTGATATAAATAATATTTTTGTAAATTCAATCTGTATTTTTATATGTGATTGCAAGAAAAAAGAATTTGAATTGAATTGAACTGAAAGAAAGTGCTTCCGACGGATAATCTTAAATATTGTATTCTTTATACAAGAGCATCTGAACGTCATCAATATAATACAAGATTTTCTAGCATCAATTCTACTTCTCCTACTCCGTGCACATCTAGTATCAGACGTTTTTCAGTTCTCTTTTAGGGTCCTAAATAATTTGCTAATGTTCCTGATGACCTAAAAAATAAATTTACATTGAATAGTTTTAAATATCATCTTAAGAAGTCTTTGGTCTCGGTGTATGGTAATTAATTAATTATTTTCTTTTCTTTTCTTCCTCTCATTTCTATTTGAGTCTTGAAATAATGTGTCTGGTCTCGTGTTCTTGCGTTCAAAACTGGATTGGAATTATTATAATTAATTACTATTAGAATTTTATTGGAATATCATTCTGAGATTATATTAGTTTAAATACAGCTAATCATTGGTACCGGTCGCTTTCCCAACTGTTTTGTTAAAGGTGGCTACGTCTTAAAGCTCTACTAGAAGTTACTGTAGCCTCCTTCCATACAATGTATTTGCTTCAATTTGCATTCTTATTTACTGTATTACTGTATTGTATGGAAAATAAATGCATATTTGATTTGATTTGATTGAGGGCGCATAACAGTAACTATTCAAATCCTATCGCAACGAACCTTTTATTTTATTATAGATATTATTTTGGATTAGACAGTATTTCATTTAATTCCTTACTATTCAGTCGTATAGATTATTGGTGTATTTTAGGTCCTACCTCGTTTAGTTATTTGAAACAATAAAATTTTACCTAGGCCTAGATTTTACTATTTCAAATTTACCATACAATATTAACCATGAGTTTGATATTTAAAGTGTGTATATAGTGAAGCCAGACGATAATTTATTTAGGTCTAATAATTGACCAAATTAGTCACACAACTATGCCTTTATAGTGTGTATAACATCAAACAAACTAATAGGTGGCAGTTTTTTACACATGTAATAAGCTTCCGTTCGAGTAAATTTTGACAGTTTTTAAACTCCTCAAACTTATTGTACATTTTATCGTAAAATAACTTATCGAAAAGCCTTGGTAAATATTTCTTTAATAAACGTCACAGTATTGCCATTAGATTTGAAATGGAGTGAAAGAAACAAATGGAACATTTTTGCATAGCCTCGTCGCGTGAACACGGCCTAACCCTAGACTAAATAGTCATACAAACAACATTCGTCTGATCCATTAGCTATCGTAGTCAAAAGTAACATATTATTTTACAATTCAGCAATTTAAGTTTGTCAATAGTTTAAATATTCCTACAGAAATTGCAACAAAATGACTTGGTGATAGTATTTAAGATCAATATGTACCTGTAAATCAGACCCTAGAAGACCTCTCGAAATTCTTCATATTTTTTTTCCAAATGGAAATTTAAATCAAATCATGGATCTATAAATCATTCAAAATGTATACATTGTTATAAAAAATATCTTCTACGCCAACTTCATTACATTTTAGACGATTTAATAGACACCACTTTCGGCTCCGCGCAATGAATTAGCGTAGACTTTTACGATGTAAACAATTTTTAATACCCAATCGGCCAAATTTTGATGACGTTATCTTTGGTGACTACTGTAATTCGGTCTATTACAATATATAATTTTGTTTACACCTCCACAGGTTATTGCTGGCTGTTTGATGTATGCCGGAGTCATCGTGTTCAAAGACTTTCAGGAATACGACAAAATCATTGATCAGTATTATATTTTGTTGCCTGGAGCAATAATGATCGCTGCCAGCGTTGTTATGTTTGTACTTGGCATCATTGCTTGTTATGCAGCACGTAGAGAAAAAAAGTGTCTATTAACATTTGTAAGTACACGATTTGCTTACCACCTAATGGGGCCTGGTAATGAAGCAAACCTTGTGATGTAAAATAGGTATTTTATATATTTATTATAATATATATGTATATATATATATGTATATATAATTATATATTGGCTAATTAGCTAATGAGGCTAATTAGCCATTGTGCACAAACCGAGGAAAATGGATTTTTCGTTTTCACGAAGAGACACAAACTTTCAGTGGGTTATCAGAAGACGCGCGTGCGGCGTTGCTATTGTTGTGATTGGGTAGATGAGCATGGTTTAGTTTTAAATAGAGATATCTCTATTTTAAATAGAAATATCTTAGTTTTAAATGAGGCCTAGCTGGGGTAGGGCTAGAGGGAAAAAAATCAAATTCCCTAATTTTCCTAGCCATAGCGGTACCCTCAATATAGCATGAAATAGGCCTATACACATGCATCAAGTGTGGAATTATTAGTAAGAACATAATGGTTTTAACAGGATAAACCTGGTTTGTAGGCCTATAATCACAATTGACTACATTGGTAAAACATAGGCGAAAACAAATTTGTATCTGACAACAGAGCGCGTACAGCGCGTAAAATGAGATTTCCGTTTTCACGAAGAGACACAAACTTCGCTGTACGTAAAAACAACCTATGCTTATCGTTTTCACGAACAGACAAACACTTTTCACGTTAATAATTAACAGGTTCATTAAAGTTAAGAAAAGAAAGATGCATTGAGTATTTGAATTGTTTAATGCTTTATCCAGTTAATCTTTAATAATATTTAAAAATAAATATTGAAAATCGTTATATCTTGATAGTGAAATTTACGGATTTGTAGTGTTTTTCTCAAAATGTTCTATTCAGGACTGGTTGTATTTTGCCTAATTTGAAGTTTGTGTCTCTTCATGAAAACGATGACGATATATATAAACAGAAAAGATCAAGACTTAACCGATGCTAACCGGAGTACATAAACACAGATCCCTGGTTGACGGTGATGGTGTAACCCCATACTTCGGTTTGGGTGCTAGCTTGGTGTTTATTGTTTTGTTTTTATTTTCTGGCTTTTTTCTTTATTTTCTTGACTACTATATTGTCAAGTGCATAAAGACCTCGTTTATTTGCGCTATTTAAATCCATTTATTATTATTATTATTATTATTATTATTATTATTACAAATAGATAAATAATAATAACAGTGCTCAAATAGAAACACTCTTTTATAATCGTGTCAAGCTTACCTCTTCAACGAATACTGCCATGATTCGGAAGAACGCATTATAAGCCAAAATCATAGTTTTAAGATATTGAGCAAAACGCGTTTCTTGTTAGACTTTTGTTATGGAAATGAATTATATTGAATTTTTTGTGTAAATGTACTAACTACACAACAGAAAAACATACTGAAGTACTTTTTTATATATATTTTTTTCTATAACCTAGTCAAAATGGACATAATGCGCTTTTCCAAATTAAAACAAAAGCCAATGAAGCATGAAAAATCTGATGTTAGGCATTATATCCAGTTTTGCCAGCAGAATGCATGCATTATTCTTTACTTAAGGAATAATAAAAAAATAACAAATTAAAGTGAATTTTTACCAGGACTTTAGAGGTTTGAATTCCATTATGTTTAATTAACTTTTAAAAAAATAAAATAAAAAGTTTCTTAAGGGTTTTTGTTTATATTATTTAGCAACATTATCGCATTCACTCTCATAAAATATTTACAAAATGTGTCTGATCTGATTTAGTAAATGTTATATTTCCCCTAAAATATGGTACATGTAGAATTTAAATTAAATACTATCATTAACCACTGCCGAAAGAACAAGCAACAACACTGTTAGTAAGTTTTTACAACATAAATAATCAGTTTATTTAAATTCACTATGAAGAATACCCGCCTTTCAATTAAATAAACAAAAAATAAATACCCAACTTCTAAACACACTTCTTCAGGCCCATTTATAAATTTCTGTTTCCTTAAATTATAAGAAAGTGTACTTATTTAAATATAGCTAAATATTTTAAATGGAAATTTAGCATAGTATAATATCTAAATTCCAAGCATTGGCTTAATTGGAAAGTCTAAGTAAAACATTTTTAGTTTGATATGTATGTATTTTATTTTGTTTGTTGAATGGTCTTAGTTATAATAATAATTATTAATATTACAGACTACACTTTATATTATGGTCACAATTTGGTGACGGTCATATTGCAACTTATTCTTTAAAAGATGAAGAACAATGCATTCTTCTTTTATTAATTGTATTCTGATCCAAAAAAAACTTGGTATTATACCCCATTATGCCCTTCCACCAGCTAGGGAACTAATTAAATATGCATCATTGTCTTCTGTGATTGGTTGATTGCTCACTCTTTAATGTATGCTGGATATAATAATAATAATAATAATAATAATAATAATAATAATAATAATAATAATAATAATAATAATAATAATAATAATAATAATAATAATTTGCGATTTGTATAGCGCCTCCCGTTGGACCAACCTCGAGGCGCTTCGCAACAACGGAAGGAAACGGACATGAGAATAAAAAGAAAACCATGAACCTAGATTAACAAAGAAAAAAGAAAACGCCTAAACGAACCAAACCAGCACCGCACCGTTTATCGGCCATTTAAGGCGTAAAGCCCGCCGATGCATGACTCACAAAGTGATGGCGGTGTCTAGTTAAGCAGTTAATGGGAAAAGAAGGAAAAGTGTCTTAAAGGAATTCAGCAAAACTTTCAGTGAAGTGGTGAGTTTTGAGTTGTGTTTTAAAAAGCTGAAGTGAGTCGGCGTTCCTGATTTCATCTGGAAATGCACTCTTCCGGATTTTTTTGCTTTGGTGGATGGATATAATGCGTAACTCTCATATTAATTTCATATTTATAAATATTTGTGGGGGTATATGATCAGTTCACATGATAGATTACATCCATAGGATGCCCCTAAGCCAAAAATCTCAAAATTCTCAAAAATGGATATAATGCGTTTTTCCGAATCACGGCAGCATACAGTACTTCCTTTTTTTAGTATGAAAATGTGTTCCTGGTGGGATTAGAACCTGCATCCTTTAACTCTCAAGGCGAGTATCACACCAATAGACCACAAAGACATCTACGGTATACGCGTAGATTTAACCCCAGGCACTTTCTCTAGTCATACAACTTATAAAACGCTCACACAAAGTAGAGCTATCATTAATCTGAAAAGCTTATAGGTCGCATTTTTTAAATTGTAGTGTATTTGTATTTAACATGTGTTTCATTCATTTCTTGTCACCCATAATCTGATCTTTAAAACTTAATCAAATGTTAAGCTTCCAAAATTAACACATTATATGCATAGAACATTATCAAATACAATATTAGTACCTGTATTATTGTCTCAATTAGAGGTTAAAATAACACAATCTCCAGTCTCAACTTAAAGGTCAAGGTTTTTAAGAGGCTTTGGAGAAAGCTTCGGTCTAACATCATAGGTTTTGATCATTTGATCTGAATGTGTGACTCTTACAATTATCATCTTCAATTAACACACTTGGACCATAAATTTCAGTAACACATCCCTTTAACCATTTTTCTTACTTACTCATCGGCATAGGATTTTTTAATTTGATTTGGGTGCGTTATACACAATCTTCGTAACACCCCACCTACTGGATATACGGGCCTGGAAACTTTACATTTTACTTGCCAATTAATGCAGTATTATACGCTTATTAGTTATCTTCTCAATTTGTCAGTATTTTTTTTAAATTATTTATTTTTCCACTTCCAACGCTGTATGATTTGAAATTTACATACCATTCACGTCGTTGCTCTTCTTCAGATTCCGTGTTCATTTTTAGTCTCTCAGTGCTTGGTAGTCATTTTTTTACATTTTTAGGCCTTCTGTATCAAAGTGTGTTCGTAAATTTTAAGCCCCAGGTCTACAATTAGGCTACCAACTCCATTAAAGCCTTTATTAATATGTTTTCGCTTTTGTGTAATTTTGGAATAATAAAATAAATAAAATATAATAAAATTATATATGCCTTTCAATAAGGTTATAAGAATCAACACACGTGTATAGCCTATCCACCCTGTGATTTATTTTGTATTAACCATACATTGTGACATAAATCATAATAATAATAAAAGAACTCAACAGTGTACCGTACGTTATCGCGCAGCCGATTTAATTACAGTCCCTGTTTGACTATTAGACAATGCAAAAAGTTTATTTTGTCTATATATTTTTGACTTTGGTTTAGGTAGGTGGCTAATTTAGCTTTTTTTTTTTATCGTTGTTCCTTACCGGTATGTTTTTTGCAATGATACACCTGTCAGCCACTTCTCCCATCTAGTTGATGTAGTGCTTCGATCCGAGTCAGGATCAAACTTTGTAATTAGTTGTGAAACGGATCCACTGCAGAATTTGCCATGATAATATGCACTTAGATATCTGCACTATAACATTAAAAAATAGATCCCATCGGCGCCAGATGTAGTGTATTTGTACGTGATTATTGTGTGAATAAACACCGGCAAATAAATAACAGACACAAACATGGCGTCTTCTCGTGAGTTTATTTTATAGTATGATAGTATCTTTATCCATACAGCGTTTAATTATTTGTAAGCATAAACAAATGAGCATCGATATTTAAATTGATATATTACATATATCATAGTAAATAATATTTAAATTAGGTTTACTGGGTCATTAGCGTTTATTTTGGACACATTCGTTTATTATTTAGTTGTAGTTTTTCTGCGGTTGAGTAAATATGACATGCCTGCGTGAAAATGCGACCGTCTTTTCGACGAATTGGAGCGTTCATTAAACTTTCTTTTGATGAGAAGCCAAATATGTCATACAATTCACAAAAAGCCAATTTGAAAAACAAATATCTTATTTTTTATATTTTTTATATCGTCAATTGTTATGACGGAATGGCTTTTCAAGAGACATTATACATATTTTTTCTCGACATACGGCTACTAATA